GATCGTCACTAAGACTAACATGACGCTTTTGGACGGATTACGTATTTTTTGGCAAAAAATCGTTGTATAGAGTGAAAGGTACGTTTGATCTTATGTTATTGTCTTCCAGTATTATAATCATTTAAGTCAAATAATTGACAATTAAGTTATCAAAATAAAAAATTTAATTGTTTAAAGTGCGTTATGACTTTCTGTCAAAATCCATATAAAATTTTGATTATGTTGACAATCATGAATGAATTGAATGACATTTACAGTTTCTTATCATTTACTTTAAAATATGAACAAGATAATTTTACTTAATATGACATGTCGCGCTAATCAGCTGCGTTCAGATTGTGGTATTTGGCGTCAACGAAAGATGAGGACTTAATTTGTCATCTTATATTGTAAAAAAGTGTCTGGATTCCCTATTATGCGCATAAAGCCATACTAGGTAACGTTTTTATGAAAATAGTGAATATTTTTGAAAATATCAAGACAAAAGCCGTCGACCTTACCGTCAGTGCTCACATTAGTTTTTGTAATAAAGGAAAAAATGAAATTTGCATCTGATGTGTTTCCTGATCTTTGGAGCCATGCAAACCACATGAAAAATGTTTGGCTTCGAAAAATTCAACGAGTTAACCTTTGCGATGCCAAACATTCATTAGTCTGTTTGAGCACTTTATGTCTGATTGCTGTGTAACTTTGCTTGTTGAAAGTCTAAGCGGTCACAAAGGAAGACAAATATTGAAACCGGAAGCAGTACCTACAATATTTAAGCACAGTGTAACTTATAAACCAAAACCAAGAGAGGCAAGTGAGAGACGTCGCAAGGTCAATGAACGCCAAGAAGTAAGTTTGTAGTATTATTTTTACGTCTGCGTTAAAATAAGTCCGTAATTCTCATTTTACATTTAAACTTACGTATATTAAAGATAGGAAACTCACACAAAAATAAATGAATAAATCTGGAACATTTCTCACAGGCAATGTGGACATTTCTTGGTAAAGGTCAATTGTGCGTATTAAGTTACGAAAGCCATAACAGGTCTTTGTTTCACCAAGTTTAAATTGTTCAACGAATTTTGGCACAGTCTCATTCCAATCCAGAAGATCAACAAGCGAGCTCATTCAGTCAGTCATTCCTCTATTCATTATGGGTACGTGCAAAACGCGGAAACGGAATGGCGGAAGCGGGAATAGAGGGTAAAACGATCGTGACTAAAACACCACACGAATACATACGAGTACATACGAGTGACATGCGAGTACATACGAGTGACATACGAGTACATACGAGTGATATACGACTCTATACTGGTCACAAATGAGAAATAACACAATTCTTCAATAATACATTGATATTTGCGTTCACTTTTGCTTGTATTTGTCTGGACTCTGGGGCAAAATAAAATACCTTTTCAGCATTTAAATTTAACAAATGGTTGCCCCAGAGTCCAGAAAAATACAAGCAAAAGTGAATGCAAATATCAATGCATTATTGAAGAATTGTGCTATTTCTCATTAGTGACAGTATATAGTCGTATATCACTCGTATGTACTCGTATGTCACTCGTACGTACTCGTATGTCACTCGTATGTACTTCTATGTACTCGTATGTCACCCGTATGTACTCGTATGTACTCGTATGTACTCGTATGTACTCGTATAAACTAGTGTGGTGCTTTAGTCACGATCAGGTTAAAACGCGGAATAGGAATTGCTGTATAAAAAGCTGTTTATGGTAAAGTAATTATAAGTATTTTCCATAATAAACATATGGATTGTTCAACTTTAGACATTGAGCGCATGTGAATGTTAACAAAAATGAAAATTCGCTATTTATACTAATTATAACTATCTAACTATATTATATTCGTGCGTATTTGCAAGTTGCAATTGACTCGCGAATCATCAGAGTCATAATCTTGACAAAACCCTGCAAATATTTTATGAAAATAGTCATAACTAAACAGCTCAGGATATCAGACAAATGCAAGCTTTGCAGGTGATCATCAATATCGATTATTTCTCGTTCGTGCATACGGTACGAAAAACATTAATTGGTAAGAACAGTATACTTGTATTTAACCAGCTTAGTGCATTTACAGTTGTTTATTTATTGCTTGGCTCACTTCGCTCATAGTACGTTTTGGAGAGTTTAATAGTAGTAGTAGTTTCGTATGGTAGTCACACCTCCATGCGCGCCTCATCTAGCCAGCTTGTGTCCCATCAAGCCAGCAGAGCTTGGAGGTGTGGTTCCGAGAGTTCCACATAGAAGTTCGGAGACCGGGTTTGGATCATTCTAAGTTTTCCTTCGGTGAAGTACTTAAGCTCCTGCACGACTACGACGTGATGATCCAGGCGCAGGGGGGAGAGTTTAATGAAAGGCAGAAAGCAAATGAACATATTTCGCTTTCCCGTCTTTCACAATTTACAAATATTTTTTGTGCAAATTTACATACACACAAATCTCAAAAAATATCAAATACACAATATACGCATCAAATATATGAGCAGGAAATACAACTATTTTCATATTCTTGCAATTCCTTTAAAAAATTATAAATTTTTTGCAAGACACAGAATACTTGGAATGTATATTCTTTTAAAGAAGTTACAAGAAAAAAAGTAACAACAAACATCATGACCGATTGGCTCAAAAATAGTAAAAAAGTATCTATAATATTTTAACAAATACAAGTTACGTAAGTGTGTTTATTTATTTAAATGGCGACATTTCATTCACGTCATCGAACTGTTTTAAAAGATAAGTTTTTGCTAATTTTTCATGTAAATAAAACACACTTATCCACAAGTTGAATCTCTCTTTTCTCAGAATCGAAAATATCGCACTTCTCATTAAACATTTTATTTGTCCTTATCACAACATTTGATATTAGAGAAATTTAGGAAACACGACGTATCGTCTAACACACTGTGAAAATGGCGTAAATATGGCATGGATCCAGCCATATATTAGAATATCACGCAATTTTTACGCCATTTTCACGACGTCTTAGATGATACGTCGTGTTTGCTAAATCTCTTTATTATCATAATAATTGTGTGACACACCACAATTTCGCACTCCGCAGTCTGCACTATTTTTTAATTGCATTTCGTATTCTTAAGATGTCTTATTCAAAGTTTGCTAACTCCTTTTCTTTTCAACTTGTTGACAGCAATGAATTTTGCCCGTTTCCATGTAATTTTTGATAATGTTGTTTCAACTTGAGACGATATTAATCATACGCAAATTTTTATAATAACAAGTTGTAGCACAAATCTCACGTCGCACAAGCACCATACAATAATAATATAGGAAATGGCGCTCTTTGCAAAGAAAATATATGAAAGAAAAAAAGCATAGCTTTGGTTTTTGCGCCCGCAGGTCACAAGTTTGATCCTACATTTTTGTCCAATGAGAAATTGTACCTGCTAATTTTAAAGTTTGAATGAAGTTGATGTTAAGTTCACCGCGGAAGTTATTATGTATAATAATGCAAGCATGAATATGTTCTTGGAGACAACAGGAGCACAGAATAGATATATAACAGAAGCGCAACAAAGCGAAAAATCTGTCCCCTACTTGTACCCAGTACTCAAGTGCGCATCTTTTGCGTCCGCCATTACTCCAACCAGATAAACTGGCCAGAATGTACATTGATTAGTATTTTGGAGAGTTGTTTTTCATAAAATTGAATTTTAATGCTTTTAAGCAGGATATAAAGGACATAAGGTAAGAAATAGTTTTAATACAATATACGTTTGTCATTCGTATTCTACGCGTTTTATAATTTTTTTTCATTGAATTGTATTGGTTACGAGATCAAAGTTTTTAGAATGTGTATGATATTGAAAGGCATTTTCCCAGTAGATTTATCGTTTTGGACTAATAAAGGATTTTTTTTAATGTATTTTGCCTTATTATTTTTTTTTTCTACAATAGATTTTCTTAATAGAAATTACAACAGAAATTACCGACCTACTGTACACGAAGAATGTTGTTGTGATGAAGACGCAGTTATTTTTGAATGTGGATGACCATCTTTAAAAAACATTAAAGTACTTCTATGTTTGATGTTTAAATTCAAGTTTTTTGACTTGTTATTTTGCATTGCATCTACATTATTGTAAATGAAACTTTGTAATTTCATCTTGTTTGTCAAATCTGTATATGTTTAACAATAAAGTTGTTTTTCAACTCTTTTTTTAATAAAAAACTTGGAAAGTTTTTGCTGTGTGAATTTGCATATTTAATTAGTAACCAGGACAACCATTCATTTTTTGCTGGAAAGCTATACAGTTATTGCAAGGTTTTTATGTACTACTCTCAGTGTCATTCATACACAAATATTTCATGGCAAAAGAAAACAAACTAAACGGTGGGTCAAGAACTCATTGTGCTGCCATCAACTGCACACAAACAAACGAACTCGTCCTGATTTAAGTTTTTTTCGTTTTCCAAAGGATCTAGAGAGGCAAGCGTATTTTTTGTTTGCAAGTCTTATGGAAACTATATGTAATGCTGCATGGGCAATTAAGTTTTTAAGCATTTCTTTGTATTTCCAATCAAAGGAATGGGTAAACATATTGTCGTCGTGTAGATCTTTTGGGCAAAAGTGCAGAATATCATTACAAAAATTGTAAACTGCGTGCAGATAATTTTCAGGACTGCATGTTCACCAACATGGAAAAGAAGAGATTAAATCCTCAGAGTGAGCCAATTCTATACAAAATTCCAAATCCTCCACCCCAAATTGGGAAAAAACGAAGGGCAATTGAAAGAAAAGAAATTCAATATGCTCCATCGGGTGGATAAGTAATTTTTCACATTTTATTTTCTAATAGATTTCAAGTAAGTTTAAATAAAACAATGAAACACTATTTTTACAAAAAACGAGGAAAAGAATTATTAGAAATAATACACATAATTCACTTAGCAAGCTACATAGAATGAGGTAGATAAAGAAACAGGGAGAACTGAATGAATACAAAAAGACTTTGATTACAGCAAAGAAATCTCGACATGAAGAAATATCCAATGTTACACGTTAGTTGGTGACATGCAATACATGTACATAAAGTTTTTGATACTGACTTAATCAAAACACTTTGAAGGAATAAGAGGAGAGCAACTTAGCAAAGAGTGCGACAATAAGCATGGTGAAAGTTTTAACATTGATGAGATGAAAAGTTGGGAGTGCCAGTTTTCCAATTTTTATATATGGCATCAAACCCTGTAGTTGCTCATTTCTTTATAGAAGAAAATCAAACAACTGAAGGCAACCAAATTTATGATATTCTCATTAATCAATCAAATGAAAATGAAGAAGGTAAAATGTAATGGTTTTGCAACAGCTAGATTACATTAAGACTTTACACATAAGCTAGTTATCAATGTTTTCCAATGACCACAAATTTTCTTTAGACAATGTACCTGAGTGTTCAAAACTAGATTTCAGTGATCAAACAAACCAATACCTCTCAAATAACACCCCTAGGAAGAGAAAACAAAAAATAAAAATTCAAACCAAGAATAAAAATTCAAACTTGGATTGAATGTCCTTGTCATTATATCAGACATGGGGTCTAACTTCTATAGCTTATCTCTTCGCTTAATAACAATAACAAGAAAGTTTACCTCATGTTTGATCCACACATCTAATAAAGTGCACAGAATAATGATTTTACAGAAGGGTCACTCAGATGTACAACGCGTCCTCGTGTCAGCCAATATTCCAGCCAGATGATTAGCATTTCTCACTTTTTTCCAACCATTAAAATTACATGACATCAGTACTTAATATTGAATTCAAGTATATTATGACTTAAAAAATGACTTCGGATCATTTTAAAGGTTGGAAAAAGTCAAAAAACCTAATCATCCACCACTTTCTGACGCGAGCGACTCTTCTGTATATTCGTGTTCTGTGCCCATGCGTTGAAAAATATAACACTTTGCTATTAAGAAAAAGGAATTTTCAAATATATACTTATTTACCTTGATATATAGTTAGATGTTCAAAATTTCCAAAGTATGGAAATTTTAAAACCAATGTTCTCCAAAATAATAACGTCTAGCAAATTTGAATTTTAGTGATCACCCGCAAAGCTTGCATTTGTCTAATATCCTGAGCTGATTAGCTATGACTATTTTTATTATATATTTGCAGGGTTTTGTGAATGACTCCGATAATTCGCGAGTCAATTGCAACTTGCAAATACGCACTAACTTAATTAGAATAAATAGTGAATTTGTTAAGATGTGATCTCATATTCTTCCTGTAATTAGTACATAATTAAGCTTTTTGATAACTTGTTGGTTACATTCTGTTTGTATTTGATAATACAAGCTCATTAGCATGTCTAGCAACGTAAAATTTATTTTACAATAATGCTATTCAAAAACAGATGTAGTCTTTTAAAATTTCTACCAAGTTGTCAGGTATAGACCCCCCTAGAGACCCCCATTCAAACCTCTATGTAATGAGTTAAATTAGAAATTTGGCACGACAAGTGACAGTTCATAGATAGAGAAAAGCTCAGACTTCAAACCATGCAAGTTTATTGTAACCCTTTACCCATCTCCACAACAGTGCCAGCAAATTCACCTTTTGAGAAAAACCTCAAAATTTTTTTCTGCCAAAGATTAAGCAAAAATTATCAGAGTGAAAATTTGCAGTTAAGGACAGCTTAATGCCATAAATGTTTATTAGGCATTTCACTAGACTATTATCTTCTGCAAGGTGTGCTATATAGCAATCACTAGTAGCATTGTATTATCAAATACAAACAGAATGTAACCAACATGTCTTTAATTATATAATTACATGAATGTTAAAATTGGTTCATGTGTCATGCTTACTGGTTATGATAAATATCTTTTCATATGATCAAAGCTCGTTTAAATGTAAATCTGAAATAATTTAGTTAAGAAATTATACTGATCATCAGAAAAATTACCTAGTTATCATGAAAAATACTTTGTTGTTTTGCCAAATTTCAAGGTTTATCTGCATACATAGGAAGACATTTTTACTTTATAGAAAATGCTTTTCATACATCAATAGCCCTTTGGAATTTATGGCAAACAATCTGGTATGAGCTGTAGATTAACACACCTTTACATCTCTACATGAGGTGTTCAGTTAGAAAAGGGGACAATATGTGACATGTGACAACATTTCATGTATGTGTCAGTGAAATACTCAGGCTTAATACCATTCCAGTCAAATTGTCAAAAAGCTTCATGGTCAGAAGACTCAAAATCACAGGTTATAGTAAACAGCTTCTCATGTAATAAATGTTAGTTTTCTCAAATCTTAAACAATATGTAGTATAACTGTCCAATGATTGAATGATCAATGATCATTAACTGAAAAGCCCCAAACATTTGTTTATGATAAAGTAAATAATAGTATGGCGCATTATGGCTAAAGATTTTTTGTCCATTGAAATATATTTGCAGGAATGTAGGATTTCGCCTCCATATAACGGTCACGATTCTCCAAGCACTAAAGAAATCATAGCTAAAAGTCCTTCAACAACAAGTTTAGAAGCATCAATCTGCTTACCATACGCCATATTAATATAAATCGCATCACACACTCGCATAAATTGACTTTGATATATTACATTCATGCATACACTTCAGTTGTCCTTTACTTACGATTTTGGATGTAAATTTCTGCTGATAAAACTCAAAACAATGTTGGCTTGCTTTTGAACATCAATGACTGAAATGTCGCTCGCGAGATCGTCTTTGCCAAGCATTTACAATTCATGCATAAATTTTTCGCCCTCTTGAAAAAATTCCCAGTTTGGAAAGCAGCATTCGTGTCAATATATGAATTTGTAAAAGATTTCCATAAATTCCATCTGATTGTAGTTTGGTTTCTCTAATGCTTTAAAAAATTACTATGAAACGATCAAACATTCAATTCAGACAGTGAGCTTGACTATGTTAGTCCAGTTGGCTACCAGTCGAAATCGGTCACACCAATCACAGTAAGACAAAAATTTAAACGAACCAATTACACGATAGCAAGTGGACTCCCTTATAGGTCCGGCCGCCCGTTTATCGGTCGAGATTATTCCAGATCGTCCACTGATCTGGCTATTGACCAATGAAATAAGCGTTTTTGGCGTTCATAGACTCCTTTATCAGTCGAACCAGTCAAGCCACCGCGCTTATCAGTCGGTTATTCCAGGTCAATTAAAATTCAACTGATCTCGTTACCAACGAGATATTCATTGGATTAGTCATTAGTTTTCAATAATAAATAAAGTTGGATTTTTATCACGAAGTAAATGCGATAATAAAGTAAGAATAATTAATGAATTTTTAATTAATATGAATAGGTAATTTTTTGAATTTCAAACATCAGTCGCGCGACGGATTTGACATACTCTAGATCAGCCCCTGCATTCAATTGAGACAGTGAGCTTGACTATGTTAGTTCAGTTGGCTATCAGTCGAAATCGGTCAAACCAATCGCAGTAAGACAAACATTTAAACGAACCAATTACACGATAGCAATTGGACTCCCTTATACGTCCGGCCACCCCGCTTATCGGTCGAGATTATTCCAGATCGTCCACTGATCTGGCTATTGAACAATGGAATGGCTTAAATAAGCGTTCTCTAACTCCGTTTTCGGTCGAACCAGTCGAGCCATCCCGCTTATCACTCAGCCAGTTAATATAATTCTAGATATGTTTTTATCTACTGATCTGTTTAGTAAGGTGGTATTTGTATAAGTTTTCATACATAAAACAGAATTTTGACTATGAAATCCAAACGATTACAGAACGAAAATTTAATGATCAAAAAATTGTAATCATTAAATTTGATAAATAATTTTTGAACTAGAAACATATGCCGCGTGACTGATTTGACCTACCCTAGATCCACCCCTGAATTTTAAGTGTTAAAGACGTCAAGTGAAGTGATATTTAGTGATGTTAAAATTGTAAGCAAAATATTATATATATATATATATATATCACTTCCACTATATATATATATAGGAAGTTTTGTTTATTTGAATCTCCGTAAGTACAGTGCTCGATGCTTAAGAGCAGAGCGTAAATATTGATGAGAAGAAGAAAATACACAAAAACTACAATTTCATCCCGACAAGCCTGTTTCGTGATTTCTCACTCTTCAGGGGATAATATTAAATGAATACAAAAGCATGTGCTAGATTATATATACAAGAGGAAGTTAGGGTAAAAAATTAAGATAGAATTACATAATATGTTGAGTGTATGGTTACAAATTGGATAAAAGTGCCTTGTGTCTATGGCGACAAGAGGAGATAAGTTCGTTACGTTTGTTGAGTGATGATAGTTGTGGTTGGTAGGTGATAAAGAATTTTTCTTTCAGGCATAGGTTGCATCTTTTGTTGGCGCTGTTGTACGGTTTGCTGTTAGTGATGATGTTCCATGAGATATCGTGAGCGATGTTGATGTCTTTTAGTGTCTATATGTGTTTGCTGAGTTCGGTAGAGTTTTTTAGTTTTTTGTGGCAGAAAGAGGCATTGTGGTTCCTGTGTCGAGTCTTAAATTCGTTTTATGTAAGTCCGATGTATGTCTCAGTTGTGTTAGTGTCCAAACGTTTAACAGTTGCTTGGTAGATGACAGATGATTGTAGGCAGTTTCTGTTAAGTGGGCAGTTTTGTTTTTGTCGCCAGTTGCATGTTTTAGTTTGTGTATTTTTGTCATTGATGGTGTCATTAGTATTGTCAGGTTCTCTCAATATGCGTTTTTATGGTTATTAATAATATGTTCCATATGGCTCATGCAGCTGTAGCTTAATTTAATTGTGTTGCGGTTAAATAGTTTTCTCAGTTTGTGGTCTATGGGAAAGTGCTTGTCAATTAGTGAAATTCATTCGCTCTAAACGTCTCCAAGCTAAAAGCACGTGTAAATAAATATCCTCATTCTGATGAAGGCTCGAAGTAACGAGTCGAAAGCTTAATAAAATCATTTAAAATCCAGAGAAACTTTTATCTTTTATGTATTCAATGCCTGGATTACAAATTTTCAAACTTATATATATATATATATATATACAAAGTGTAAATGCAATGTGCCCTCCCGGCTATCACATTTTAAAATGGTGACCCCTGCACTTGGGACACAGGATGTACGGTTATATATATATAAGTTTGAAAATTGGTAATCCAGGCATTTAATACATAAAAGATAAAAGTTTCTCCGCCTTTTAAATGACTTTTTATTGAGCTTTCGACTCGTTGCTTCGAGCCTATTTTTAACTAGCATACTTGTGACTACACATGGCAATGCCTACTAGTGCTACTGTGCTTAGAGAAAATATATTTGAAAATTTTCATAATTTGGAATTTGGACAGTCATTGAAAAAAACAATGATACCTTTGCAAAGGTTTTATGCCACGATCTTTAAAATCAGTGTGATTCAAATAACTCATAAAGAGTGGTTGAAAACTTTTTTGTATTTTTATGTTTTTAAAA